AAAAAAAAATATTGAGAATAGTGAGAGAATGTTTGCTATGATCTAACTTACCAGTTTCATCGATGAGTTTGGCGTCATGGCGAAATCCTGGCAAATGATTGAGCTCATTCATCTTTTCTAACTGTTGAGGCAGATTATTCACCTAAAGAAAGAGAGAGAAAGAGTAAGATCGAGAGAACTATTCAGATTTTCAGAGTCTAATAGTAACAATAATAACAAGACGATACGACGGATAAGAATATGCGGCAAATGTGGAGTTACCTTGTCCTTAAAGTAGAATATAGATTGTCTGAGGAAAGCTCCAGTTTCCTTCGAGTTCATAGCCAACTCCATGAACTTGGCATAGCCATCCATGCACCAAGCCTTGGCTCTCTCCAGTGACTTTTCATTTGTGTGTCGCCCACAGACCGCTGGAGGCCACTCCCATAGAGCGCCAGCGATCTCAGAAGTGATGCGTTTACCAGAGGAGACAGGGGAGGCGTACTCCTTTGCTAAAACTGTCACTTTGTACCTATGAACGATGAATGATTTAACAACATTAAAGAACATTTTCATTGCATCTTTATTTAAAAAAAGCCGCCTAAAGAATCGTCCCTATTTACTGTCTAAGAGTGGACAGGTTTAAAACCAAATTCTGTTTGTATAAAATGGGGATTTACTTAATTTTTTTTCCACTATGAGAATTCTTTGCAAGAAATGGAATGGCAGTATTTCGTAATCGGATTTGAACGCTGGCTTTTTTCCACTTGAAAATTAACTGTAGCCGTATTCACCAGCCTGTTTTGAGATCTTAGAAATCATCCTAAATAGCTGTGCGAATTGCACAAAGCCAGTAGCATTTATAAATATTTTTCTTTTTCTGAGCTCTGTGCTTCATGTTGTCAGTGATGGCTGCAGATTTTTGCAAATTTTGTCGCGTTTTTGCCGAAAAATCAGGAACCAAGCTTTCGTAACATGAAAGCCGCAAAAGTTCGCGGAAATGTCGCATATGCCTCGCATGATTGGGCTTTCACTTTCCGCTTTTGTCGCTGATCTTGTATAATCTTTTAATAGCCGGAAAAAATTTAGTCTAATTTTCAACTTACCCTTTATTCAACAACTGCAGAGCACTGGTCATTCCAACAACTCCGCCTCCAATAATTAACACACGAGGAGCTTTCTGAGAGTTCTAGAATCCAAGGGAGAAAATTCAGAAAATAGTTTCTTTCTTTATCTCCGTCAGGGCGGGATGTCTCGGTGGTTGATGTACATTTTCAATGTAAAAAGTATTAATCTGATATGTTCTCCTAAATTTTCTTCATTTTTATCGAGTATTGACTAAGAACAATCATTTACCCTAATACAAAACAGTTGCTCGAAAAAATCAGATCACATACAGGTAATTCATCTTTTTTCCCGTAAATTCGTGCTCATATGTTAGAATCCTTACCTTGAGTTTCCTTGTGTTGTCTAAAGTTCTTCCAAACTGGAGAGCCATTGTCTTAAAGGTTGCTCCTAGAAGTTAAGATTACTTCTCAGGTATGTCTTCAGTGCTTTCTGTTTTCTAGAGTCTTCAAGCTAATGTTGTCCCTTTTGCCGACATTTTTCCCATTTTATAGCCATTTCAAACAAGGTGATATTAAAAATTCGGAAACAGGACAATTGTTCTTCCTTAATGACTGACGTCAATGGTTCATGGGGAATATTTGATGGGCAACATGTACTGAACTGACGCAAACTAACTCACGCGACAGTCACGTTCACTAAGGAAAAATTACCTCTATCGTTTTTTCGCGCTCGTTAACGTCTGGGCGCAATTTTAAGTCGCTTTAGATGACAGATTCTTCTGATCAAATCATAGATGATGTACATAACGTGTTTGTATTTGCGAAATTCATGTTAGCCAAAATCGGCGAATCCACACGTATTCCGTCAAAGCATGTCTTGGACAGTTTGACAATTAATCCCCCCTTGATGGATGATAAAATGTTTATCTCTGTATCCGATGCATTATTTCCTCTCACAAACTGCTAAGCAAACGCAGTGGAAGAACGTGACTGACCGACTGGCCGGTTTTTCCTAATTGCCACGTCCATGGCAACAGACGTGACAGTCACACAGCACAGAGGTCACGGATTGCAAGTCACGTAATCAAGTATTACCTACAACGTCAGAAACGAGTTCTTTTGCTTAAAATTTTTGTTTTTCATTCCACTTTATACAGCCTTAGACCCTTTAAAAGAAGGAAAATACCGAACAAGATCACATCGAGAGTTCAAACTATTCAAAGCTTTCAAGTTGAAGTTGGTGACTTGAGCCAAAAGCAGAACAAATTGATTTAGTATTCGTGATTGAGTGATAAATTTCCGGCTGATTGACGGCAAAACGTGTTCATAGATTTTTCCTCCGGCAATCTATCGTTCGCAAAAAGGTACACATTGCGTATTTTTTTTTCTACCCTAAAAAAAGAAAATTAACAGTCCGGATATAGAAGGAAACTTTATTCACTCTTTGTTGTTGTCCTTTCAAAAAATCTTTAATTATTTTGACATCTTTACATACTATTGTCACCGGGTGACGTGAGTGTTATCACAGCTTAACTTGCCTCATATAAATGACAAAGCAGTATGATGTTTTTATTTTTTTCTGTCTCTAAGAGATTGGATAAATTCCTCCATCGCTATATGTGACGTTTAATATTCTGATTGTAAGAGAAATAGCTCATTGGAACATCCTGATATTAATTAAGTT